CATTTCCTTGTTTCTCCAGTTGCAATGAAACACAAACTAGTCTACTTCCTATTTTATCCTCTTACTTAAAACACAGTAAGTTTGTGTTTGACTCAAGAAGGATTTTAAAGGGATAGGAGTGTCTCAGGAGGGGCTTGTGAGGGGTATCAGTGGAAAGTGAGGCTAGAGTCAGCATGGGGAACAGTTTCTTAATTCTATCCAATTATTTCTACGTCTGAGCCTTCGGCTTATTGGACTGATCCTATTAATGTTAAATTATGGAGTTTTCCCCTTATTTTAGTCTCTCTTTAAAGTGTATATACATCTTCCCAAACCGGGATTTCCAGTTGGTTTGAACCAGTTCCGTCATGTTTGACAAATCTAAGCCAGAACAGACCTGAATTTTTAAAATTTGGGTGTAGTGGAATGATAACTGAACTGGGAAAATTATGGGTGAAAGTCCTGGAATGAGAGACTCAGAAGAGGCATTGTGAGCCCTTTCAGAAGCCTGGTGCAGGATTTAAATTATTGGCAGAACTGTGGCAAGTGACACACATTCAAAGCAGCATGGTTGACGACTAACTTTGAGTCGGCTACTGTTGTTTCTGACTTTGCTATCCCTTTTAAAATCTTTCTTTGGTTGCTAGGCAACATGCATGTGGCCCTTGCCTTCTAAGAGGGAGATTAAACTTCTAGCAAGGCATTGATTTGTAATTTTTCTCATTCCAGTTATCATTGCACTTTACCCACCATTTACTAATTTGATTAATTCTGGTTTCGCTTCATCAGTTATGACTAAACCTGGAAGAACCAGTTTGAAGCCCTGTCCCAAACACTCTACATACATGCAATGCCTAATGTGGAAATAACGCAGAAGGGAAATTGGAGGGGATGAATACATATAAATTGATTGGAATAAGGAGAGAAAATAAGACCTGACATTTGGGAGTGTTGGTGAGTTTTATGTCTCATGAGTCTGGAGTACAATGTTTCTGGGAAAAGAGAAATCTTACACAGGCATTAACTGTGAGTTAATGCCCCACTGTGGCAAGCATTAGGCAGTCTTTTGACCGAAGAACAGTTCTGGAGCAAGATGTAGTTAAATTTGCAGAGAACCCAGAAGGGACAAAAAGAATCATTAAGTTGTTGAAAAACTGGGACTAGTGAAAAACAAAACATGTTTGGGTTCATTTTATCTGGGGAATAAAAAGCCTATGATAGGATAGAAAATCATTCTGAAGTTGGGAAATTCATCTCAGTTCCTATACTGGTGGTTTGGTTACAGAATTCTTGCTTTCCATGAAAGATTATAAAGGAACAAACCCACTGCTATGGAATTGATTCAAGTCAATGTTGGTGTTAAGTGCCAAGGAGTCTGTTCTGAATCATAGCGACCCTGAGGTTGTAAACCTTTGTAGGTGCAGAAAACCTCTTTTTTTCCGTGGGGTACCTGGTGGTCTCTAACTGCTAATCTTGTGCTTTGTAGTCTAGTGCTTATTCTAGAGAGCTACCAGTGACCCTATATAGTCTTCCAGAGACTTTAAAATATTTATGGGCATAGATAACTTCATCTTTCTTCTGAGGAGTGGTTGGTGAGTTTGAACCACTGACCTTGCAGTTACTAGCCACAGTGCCACCAGGCTCCTTTCCATATAGGACCCCAAGTTTCAATTCCAGCCAATGTACCCTGTGCAGTCATCATCTCTGTTTATCATTGAGACTTTGCGTGCTGCTGTCAAGGAGCTCTGGTAGCGTAGTGGTTATGAATCGAGCTGCGAACCTCACGATCAGCAGTTCGAAACTACCAGCGGTTCCACAGGAGAAAGATGAGGCTTTCTGCTCCTGTAAAGATTTACAGCCTCAGAAACCCTGTTACAGGGTTGCTATGAGTTGGAACCGACTCCACGGCACATAACAACAGCAACATCATGCCGATCAGGTTTCAGCAGAACTTCCAGACTAAGGTTGATTGGGAAGAAAGGCCTGGTGATCTCCTTCTAAAAATTAGCCATTGAAACCCTCTGGATCATTAGCAAACAGTCTGCAACCAACTATGGGGATGGGACTGGTCCCGGACCAGGCAATGATTCATTTCATTGTACATGAGATTGCCATGAATCAGAGGGTGACTGGAAGACAGTTAACAACAGTTATAACAGCACTGTTTCCAAATACCTGAGGAAGACTAGATGAATGATATAGGCAGCTATACTACTAAGCATTTTTTCATGCAGCTGTTTATTGAGCACTTATTTATTACCAGCCATTCATTTGATTATAGAGGATACTATGGTGAACAGAGGGTTATGTTTATGGGCTTACTGAGCTTACTAAACTATAAAGTTTAGTCTAGGGAAAGCACAACAAAATAGGATAAATACAAAGATACGAGAAGTACAAATTAACCTGGGAAGCAAATTGTCAAGACATCTAACTAGCTAGGATTCAGGAGCAAATTCCAGACAGTGGGGAGATCTTAAGTATATATGTAATGGTTAGTTTTATATGTTACTTGGTTAGGCTGTGAGTGTAGTAATCCAATCTGAATCTAAATATTTTGTAGATGTGGTTAACATCTTTATCAGTTGACTTTAAGTAAAAGAGATTATCTTCCACAATGGATAATATAGGTGGGCTTCATCCAATCAGTTGAAGGCCTTAAGAGCAAACACTGAGGTTTCCTAGAAAAAGAAGAAATTCTACCCCAAGGTTAGATCATCAGCACTTAACTTCTGCTTGACTTGAGTTTCTAGCCTGCTGGCCTATGTTATGGATTTTGGACTTGCCAGACCCCACAGAGGACTGAATCAACTCATTAAAATAAAATTCTTTATATTCAATCGATTCTCTTTCTCTAGAGAACCCTGATACACTACCTTAGCCAGGTAAATTTAAGACAGGGATGGGGAAGGTACGTGAGGGGAAATGACAGCACCCAGAAAGCCAAATTACCAAACATATGACATGTGGCCTAGAGAGTTTGGAGAGTGCAGTGGTAGAGGCTGGCTTGTGTATTGGAACTAGAGAGAAAGACTGGCTATCAATTCTGGAAATCAGCTAACTAAAACTGTATGTATCACATGGTCAGATTCCCAACAGATCATGGGAATGCCACAGGACTGGGTCATGGCAACTAATACAGCGGAGTTTGGAAAGTAAGTTTGGGAGGCAGAGGATCCTATTCTTATTTTAGAAGGAATTTCCAGCTATACTGCTATTGAGAACAGAAGTCGCAGGAAATGTATTTAAATTCCAGCAGGAAGTCTACTAGGAAGATAATTTTAATATGGGAAAGAAGTATCCAATGTGTTCTGGAATTTAAAAAACAATTTGGTATTTTTATCACTGATGGTCACTGTTTTACAAAAGGTTTACGATGTTTTTACAATCAGGTGGCTTTTTGCTATAAATTGCCTCCTTAGGCTCTCAAGTCTGTAGCTTTCACTAGGACTTTCTCCTTGTAACTGGAAAAATACTCCAATTTGGCCAAGCAGCAGTTATGGAAGCTAAACTCTCTCAAACAGCTGTGGGGTTGGGAGAGAGGAGGTCAGCAGGGCAGTCTCGCTGCCAAAGTGGGAAGGGAAGGAAGAAAAAGTTTACTCTGGGCGAACAGACTGACGTTACCCCACATCATGTATGGTGTGAGGGTACTTGCTGATTACAACATCTAATCTACGTTCTTCTATCCCCTGTTAGTTGCCTTCATTCAGTCCTGGCACAGCGGTCCTCGGTTTGGGGCAGGTATGGTATTTGCCAAGTCGGGATTCAGGTGCTGTGGAACAGGGGCTGGGCGACGACTTCAGGATGAGGTCCAGGATGAGGTCGGAGGTCTTCCACCCCACTACTATCACTGAGAACACTTTGCAACTTTCGTCTCCAGCAAAGGAAGTCAAATTGGTTTTTCTTACAGTCCTTTTGTATTCCTTGATTTCTTCACCTTGGCTCTCTGTGCGTTTCCCCATGCTTCCGATATAGGGTATTCAGCTGATAAGAGCTCCCCACTAATTCAAGCAACCATGCAGATGGTGTGGGGGATACTGGGGGAGGGGGGTCCATAACCCTTCCCCAGGTGTAGACTGGAAGAAGCCAGCGTTTTCCTTACCACCCCACGGGTCTCCACGCACCAGTAAGGGTATTCACTTCTACAGTCCTGAAAGATCACAACGGGGGGCGAGGGTGGTGGTCGTGGAGGGGAAGGGCTCCTGGACCCACTCCCCAGCGAGGTTCCACACCCCGCATCTCCACCAGTCAGGCCAGGGAAAGGAGCCTGGTGCGTTAGGCACGCCGGATAGAGAGGGTTAGCCGGATAGAGAGGGTTAGCGAATAGGGGAGGTGGTGGAAGACTGAGTAAGGAAGAGCTCCAGCAGGCGAACCCAAAAGGCTGTGCCTCCAGGGGGTGGGGAGACAGACTATGAGGAACTTTGGGGGAAACACCAAAAGGGGGAACACAAGCGACGACGGAAAGGGTGCATAAAGGCGAGCCCAGGCGGCGCGGCCAGGAGTGGGGAGGGAGGGAGTTCTGAAAGGAGGAAAGCAGCGTCGAGTGGCGACAGGAGCGAGAGCCCTGTAGAGAGAGGAGCGGAGGGCTGACGGAGCTGGGAGCAGGAGGGCGCTCGGCGCGCTGAGATCGTGCCACACACCCCCCGCGAGGCACTGAGGGTTTAGCCAGGGGAGACACACAAAGACATGCGAAGAGGGGCTGAACGAGGCTCCCGCACAAAGACGCCGGGGCTCACGACCACCGCTCGGGCTGCACCGACCGCCCCCGCA